GTTCCAAAAGGTGCTTTACATTAAGATACATATGTTTGATGCATTTTCGAGACAAGAGCAAAGAGACTTGATATCAATTGAAAGAACCATCTGAAAAGTGGGTGGAGCCTTACTAGTTGATAAATTTGTTTAGCTTATACTAGAAAAATATATACGTATTGGGAAGGAAAGTAAAATGCAACATCTCACTAACCAAACTAGAGGTGTAAGTATGAAGGACCACCAACATGTATGAAATTTTCTTTTATCCACATGCCCTTTGCGAAGGCCAGAAAAACCCGAAATCTTTACAAAGAAGCAACGTTGCCATATTAACAAAGATATTTTCCACAAACAACATTCCTTGTCTTATTCGTGGGGGCGGTGATGAAGCGATAAACAATACGTGTTGGTAATTACATAGAAAAAAATGTCCCTTCAACTTTATACAAGATTAAGCATTTGATAGAACTTTAATTTGTTGAAAAATATACCTTGCATTAGACGTATACCTCACGTTTCGTTTTATCCATATCTCGGTTGTAATCTGTAAACAACACCAGTCTTATTCCGGGGGTCATGATCGCTTATTATGATAGAGGTTGATAAAATTTTGTCAAATCTAAATGTGAACGAAAATTTGTGTAATTATACTTATTACATTTAAAGATAAAAATCAATTCTTACCTTCAACTTTACGCGTTCTTCTGTTTAACTCGTGTGATACATTCGAAAATATACTTTAATTATTCTACCTTGTCAAAATCATTTATCTTATCCTTGCCGATTACCGGTAAGAGTTTTAAATTTTTATTCAAGAAAGAGTTGATTGTATACAAAGTCAAACGACTTCATACCTTAATAGTTAAACCATCATATTCTAACAAATTCTCATAACCACTCATTCTCGCGTTATTGGTCATTTCCTGTAGGTGTTGGGTTTTTTAAACAATTTAAAATTCCAATTGTTTTTTAAATACATGTAAATTAATTGTATTTTACCAAAATGTCAACTCGAAGTTTCAGAACATTTCTAAAAAAAACACCTTTTGAATATTTTTAATCTCATGTTGGTTACATAGCTTTTAAAACAGGATAATAGTGCACACATATTTAGTCCTGTTTCTGTACAGATACACTAATCAAACTGAACGCATCTATTTCGAATTACCATGTCTCTGTAAGTCGTACGATCAGTTCGTCCGGTGTCGATTTTTTAGTTAGAATATATCAAATCAAAAAGGGTCATACGTTCATTATTCAAGTTCTATTTCCTCAGATTGTTGATAAATCGAAACCAGCATGATACGAAATTCAATTTGAAAAAAGGTTAAGGAGATTTAAAAAAAATTAAAGTACTGAATTGATTCATGCTGAATTATTCACATGGTACATTGAAGCATTTTACATGTACCAGTAGGTAACCTTATTATATGTACACTTAAAAAATATTATTTAGCGTGAATAAAGAAATAAGCTGTTGAAGGAATTGAAGAATAAACTGAGAAGACCCGCTACCAAGCGATATAATCAATTTTTTCAACTTGAAGCTCTTAGTCCATCATAAAAAAACTAAACTTCAAAAGAATCGGCGCACACATATGCAAAGTTTTGCACTGTCAAACATTCAGAGATCGCGTATCCCTAACACTAAAGAAAATCAGAAAACCTTACCCATTATTGAAATATGTATAAATTAATATAAAGATAGGCCATAAATCGACACTAGAAGGGTAGGGAAGTAGAAGACAGTGTTCTTAATATAATGCACTCATAAAAAATAGTCCAAAGATTCTGGATTTCTTTTGGCACGGTTTTATAGGTATCATTTTAGAGTATAAAGGACAAGCAATCAGGTATATGTTTATCTTTGGACTGTAACAGCACTAATTTGATACAAATTTGAACAAAGTTGACACTACAAACTTCAATTAAATAGAAAGTAGACTTCTTAAGTAGATTTCATGCTGTATGAAAACATTACCGAGTACTTTTTCAAATAAATCGAAAAATAAATGCTAATATTTGAATTATTTTTTCCGGTTAAATCAACCACCGAAAACGTCTGTGTACATAAATTTAGAGGTGTCAATGAGAAAATAAAACATCCTTTGTATGTCAGTGTTATCATGTGTTTATCGTTTAAATGCTACTTTAAACATAGGTGATGCTTCATAAATATCGTTAAAATGGACAGTATTTGTTGATACACACTAGATGTCGAGTACGATTACTTATTATATTAAAAGGCAAAACAGAATTTTAAATCAAGATGAGAAAGTATATAATATATTTAATGAAACTAGTAGTTTGTCCTTTATGTATTTTAATTGCATACATGTATTTCTGCATGCCTGCTGTTTTTATTTTAGAAACAAAATGGCAATAAAATGGCTTATTGTTCTCTTTAGTGGACTATTTTGGAATTTTCTTGTAAAGACGACAAATTACAAATAAATAAAAAAGACTTATTGTAGAAGTTCGCTTTATATAAAAAGAAGGCTTTTCTACTTCCTTGTTGAAAAAATAGAAGTGACAGGCAAGTACGATTAAAATCTAAAATACAAGTTATAACACTGCAATTTTGAAAAATCGTATGCGAGAAGTGTCAAATATTTTAAGTTCAAATTACGTTGTCGTATCGTTCCAAGGGGTCTAGACCGTGATATGTTTATAAACATGTTATAACAAAAATAATAAAATGGTTTTGTGTCCATTATACAATATATTGTTTTTTTTCACATAGTAGGCCCATCTACTTCCATTCATAAACGATATTAACTTCATTTTCGAGTATTAAAACCACAAACTTTAACCCATTAACAATACCAATTGTTTATTTTGAAGATTTAAGGGCACTTGTGTTAGCCATTGTGTAATGGTATAATTGACAATGGTATTTTACAACGATATTTATGTCTGTAATAAAAACTAAATGCGCCATTCATAGGTTTTACAACATATTTGTGAGAACGCATTAGTTTAATGTTTACGTGTAAAATTAACGTATGTTTTTTTTTATTGTTGAAGGTAATTCATACATTGAAATGCAGGTGTGACTTTTGTTAATCAAATAGTTAATAACAGAATAATAGTTACTACACAAACACCAGAGAACAAAAAGTTGCCTAAAATCGTTTCAGTTAAGAAGAACGATCTCAGTGTACTTCATAATAATGTTCGAGGGTAATATCTCAATGTACTTCATATCTTTGTTCGAGGTAATATCTCAATGCACTTCATATCTATGTTCGAGGGTAATATCTCAATGTACTTCATATCTATGTTCGAGGTAATATCTCAATGTACTTCATATCTATGTTCGAGGGTAATATCTCAATGTACTTCATATCTATGTTCGAATTTCACGTATATAGCTGAATATTGTTCCGACTACAATACCACATTGCATGAGCCTGTCAGTGCAGTTAATATTCTGCCTAGAATAATATTCTTTAAAATTCGAGCAATAAAAATGAAAACAACACTTTATAAGTTTCACGCTTTTCTGGATTTTCCTTCTTCAAGGCCGAATGTTTGAAAGCCACAGACCCGACACAGTTGCAGAGCTGTATGACCAAAAGGAACCATAAAATAATAGCCAAATCCATCTAAGGCCAATTTTGCCTATAGGGAGTTGGAACCTATTAGTTAGTTTCTTAATAATTTATACATTTATAAACGGCCAACTTTAGAAAGATTGGTTATAAATCAGGTCAGTACTAAAGTACAGACTACTGAGCTGATGATACCGTCGGGAACCGGTAGTTCACCAGCAGTGGTATTGAACCATCGCAATCACGTTTACCGTGACAATAAAGATTAAGGGGGTCTGTTCGGATCCTCACTGACATTCCATAATAAATTATGCATTTTTTAGCATTTTATATAGTTCGTATTTTTGCTACATTGAATATGTTTACAAATGACAAATTCCTGGAAATTTTATTTTTGCAGAACGGAATGAATATTAGCTAAAATGTAATTACACGACATAATTCTGTTTATGACAGATAATCATTTACCTATCAGCAGGTATCAAGTAAATGATTAAACTTTTCACTTCAAATTTTAGGTCAATAAATCTTTACGGTAAATAATTACCAGCTATTTATTTTGATTGACTAGTAACCCATAATTAATTAATGTAATCATGGTAATTGCATTTTATTAACAATACAAACATGATTCAAACTATAGAGACCAAACAATTATAGACCATTTAATAAAATCGCGCTTAATATCTGCGTATGTTGAAAATTGATTTGAGATCTGATTTCAGTAATGATCATTAAACCAAGGTCATGAATATTTCAAAAATGCATAAGGTAATGTTTTAAAATATAGTTCTATGTAAAATTTAGCAATAAACAGATTCGGTTGACGTAGTATTAAGGTTTCTTCTCATTGGACAGGTTTGCAAAGGTATATGAAAATTGACGAGTGCGAGTTCACAGCATTTTGTCTGGAGTAATACAAAACTCAAATGTTAGTAAAAGTTGGGTTTATTTATTAAATAGATTCGTTGCATTTTATTTACGTTATTAAATACATAATTATTTTACTTTGAGTTATCATCGTTATAAATAATAAAAGGCAGTAATTAATTACCCGGAATCAATGTATAATTGATTGATTGATTGGTATTTAATGCCACTTCCAGATCAAATGGCTATTTCGTGGCGGTCAGATTTTATTGGTGGAGGAACCCGGAGTGCTCGGAGAGACCACCGACCTTCGGCAGAAAAACTGACAATCTTAATCGATTAAAATTGAAGTCGAGCAAACCTGCCACGTGCAGGGTTCGAAATAACAACATCAGTGTTGACAAACGAGTGATATAGTAGTTGGACAACTTGGACCACAAGGCCACCGAGGCCCCTTCAATGTATTAAGTTGTCGCCATTTCAATATTTAATTAAATAATAACTTATTTAAAACTAAAGATAATTAAAAAAAAACACATAACATTATATATAGAATAAAATGAATTAGAAATTGATAATAATTGACGTTCTTACCTTGTATATCTTATCCTGTGTTCCCACCAAATCCGTTTTTACTTAATATTTTTTAAATATTTCACACCAACTCAAATACATACATAATTGGTTTATAAACAAACTGCACAAATACAATTTACGTAAAAAATAATCTCTTAAGCGCCTCTTTACTTCTATCAAAATAATAATTAACTTCTTTGAAAGACAACCTTTTTGTGGTCCGTAAGTATGAAGGATCGTAATTGGATTAACATTACCTATATAAGACATAAATCCCTGCTCATTTCATCTGATTTTCAACGGCGGAAAGATTTAAACGTCTGCATAATGCAACGTTTGTTAATACAGTCTGAAATTTGATATGAACTGACTTGATAAATTATTCAATTCTCAACCCATCAGTTTTATTGACTATTTGTTTCTACGGATGAACAAATTTTATGATTAAATTTTTTTAACATTTTAAACTATATATTACACGTTTGTATAGGTTTTTGTTATCAAGGACTTCACCATTTGATAAATGTTGATTTCACTTTCTCATATACCTATATTGCATAGACAGACATGTCGCCAAAGTTTAATATACGCACGTGTCTTTTCTTTATATCTAATAAAACATTTAACGATAAACAAATATGTTATTTCTCACATTGACATCAAATTTAACAGATTGATATATTGATACTTCTTTTCATTTTAGAAGATGTTTCTGTAACAAACCATTTGCAAAACAAACAGTTTTTTTATTGATTGCGTGGTTGGAGACTGTAGCATAGCGGTAAATATTACATGCATATTGAAACCCCAGAATTTACATATAACGTTGAATACACTGCGATCGGTCGGGAGAATTGGCTTTGTATTATATTTACTTTGATAATTGAGTGAAAAAAAGAAGTTTTTCCTTACAAATGGTACCATATAGTAATCTAGTAATCTTAATAATATTATATAAATGCCAACAGCGCGGCACTAACCCATATTTATCGTCCGTACCCCGACCGAACATGCCTGCATATATTATATTATTATATTTTGCGCCCTCCTTTTCATCAGAGGTCACTATAATTTCCTGATGGAATAATAATTCCTATCTTACCAGCAATCATTGACGCGTTCTTGTTTGTACAATGAATACGCAAAATCGTACAGACAGATTTAATGCATATTAACTAGTTATGGTTTTAATAAAAAAAAATCACGTCACAAGTCAAATGGAATTCCGAGATGAATTTGATAGACGACAATTCATGCCCATACTTGTACTAAATGTACATGTACTTATAAACATCAGATATAAAGAATAAATTCCACCACGCCAAGTCGATACTTTAGAAAATATCTTTTAAATGAAAGAGCATCGTAATCGAAAAAATGAACAGGGTATCAAAAAAAAACGTCTTTAATATATCAAAGATCATATACAAAGGTAGTCTTTCAAATACATCGGTTAAAATTAATTATCATTTAAGACATTTCCATGAAGCATTGGTGTAAACAATTACGAATATAAATTTAACATTACCCATGATTACGAATTGGTGTTAACGTCCAGTGGCAAATAGTACATGCATATCAAGGGGTATGTTAATGTGATTTGAATTTGAAATGTTTATATTATATCATGATGACTCTAAGTGTTTGTTGATAAGTCAGAATAGCTCCAAATGTTTATATCATACGGTATTAAACTCAAAGTGTTTGTGGATAAGTCAGAATTGCTCCAAATGTTTATATTATATGGTAAAATAACTCAAAGTGTTGAAGGATAAATCAGGATAAATCGAACTGTTTATTTTTATCGTATTTGTTTTTATTATTTATATTTACTTTATATATTACTTCTTTCAAGATATCTTCATCTGTTTTATTTATTACTTATTTCTGCTTTTCCAACATCACAATATCACAGATGAAAGACGTTTTATCGACAATAACAAAGAAATTTAGTAATAAAAGGCTGATAGATTTATAAAGTACTATCATTCGTGTATGAATCAAAGTCTTGGTGGGAAATCATCATTATGACAGAAACTCAATCTACCAGACAAAATATACCATCTACAGTGCATGCTTCATACATCGTCAATTCATCTTTTTAATCGATTATTTTTTTTCGTGAATCCTAACATTCACTTTTTGAGGTCCTTAATTTTATTGAAAATTCTGGGACTACCTTTTTCCACTACAAATAAGCATGTGCTATTTTGGTCTTTTTCAATTGATCGTTCGGTATTGTTCCTTTTCTAGATTAAGTCAATTTACAGAAACGAACACTGTTATTCCAAGACACATGTAATATTTCATCAATTTTAGGGTTCCCGATTTGGTCTTATTATTGTGTAACTTGGTAAACACTTATGCGCCGTCTTTAGATTTGTGACGGGATTGAATAGTAGATACTTAAAGAAAAGTTCGGACCGTGCGAGACCCTAACGGGTAGTCAAGGTTGATTCCCCCTTAGTAGATAATATGGCAGCCGTAAGCGATTGAGATGGGAAAGTGCTTCTTTTAGCTCAATCGGTTAGAGCGTTGCTTTGTAACATTGAGGTTTTGGGTTCGAGTCCCGGAGGAGACAATGTGATTTTATGATAAGATAAATTATCGCTATTTTACAAAATTTTCCTTTGATCTTGCTGATTGATAATTTCCTTTCTCAGCGGAGTCGAGTGATATGAAAAATTATTGCTAGAAACTAAGGGAAATTAACAACGTCGTCATAGGTAAAATAGCGATAAACAGATTATCATTGGTCATCTCATCTCGATTGCTTTTCTCACTTTCGCCGTACCGGCTCAAGCGAGAAAATCAATCTCGTTGAGATAACCAACGATAATCTATAATGCTCACCGGTTACGTTTTCCTATATTGTGTAAATTGACACATAATTTTGAATATTCCTTTGGTATCTTTCGCCTCTCTTTTACAGAGTTGCGTGTAATTTGCAATTTAGATAAACACTTCTTCTTGTTTTTGGACAAGTTCAGTCTAAACCTTTACTTCCTTAAACTATGATGATCGACTCCGATAATCCTGTCATGAATATTTATGACTAAAAACACCAAGCTCTTTGAAAAAAAAATGACTGAAATGTTTTATTTATCAAATGCAACAGTCACATATATCATAAAATAATAATATATAAATGTGGCAGTCGATCCATTAATTGGTGTATATATATATTGTAAGGCGTTCAAAAGTCTATCTCAATTATTAAATCATTATACATATTTTTAAGCATATATGAAAAAGAAAAGGATATTGGTTCAGCCAAAAAATATAATAACGTATAGTTTTAGACGAAAATTTACCTGTCTTCTGTCTCTTTTTCAGCCATTTTCTATTTTTTTACATTCCGTTTCCACTACAATCAATTAATGTAATATCGAAGGTATTTTTCGTTTCTATATCAACATGGAACTACATAATTCCCAACTCTATTTCACTGAGGTACAAATTCGAGGTAATCACGACAGTTATCAATGTTTATCATTTGATTATGTACTATATATTTTGAAATTCCCACGTGCCAACACACAAGTAATTTATTAATTGTCCTTAAACCCTATTTCAATATTAAAATTTATTAGCCACATAATATAAAGATATAATGGCATTTATTTGTTGTAATAATATCAAATAATAATTTTTAAATATAGACTATTCATTAAACAAAAATATTTAAATTTATAACATTTAAATGTAATTGTATAAATATAATATAATTGTTAGGTGTCTACTTTGCTGGGTAATATTATCTCAGTGAAATTTTAATCTAATTAAAATGTAATGCCATTGTAAATAAAGTCCCTACAAAGCTGAGCCTTGAGCATTCAAGGCGTTTAATGTAAAGAAGTTTTAGATATGAAACATTGTTAAGATGTTTAATTTGATGTTGTAAATTACCTTACATGAAAGAAGGGGACACCATTTCTGCTCTTGTCATTTGCGTCTTGAAGTATCAATATCATATAGAAATTCGAGCGCATCAACCAATGGTTATAGAAGAACTGCTAACCTCTGTGTGCGCATGTGTGTGTAAGTTTCTGTGAAATCAAATCATTTCATCTGTAGTAGTATTATTAGATGTTCTTTCTAGAGATAGATGTTCACTGGAATATCATAAATCATGATGCTATAAAACCAGGTTCAATCCACCATTTTCTACATTTAAAAACGCCTGTACCAAGTCAGGAATATGACAGTTGTTGTTCATTCATTTGACGTGTTTTATCATTTGATTTTGCCATTTGATAAGGGACTTTCCGTTTTGAATTTTCCTCGGAGTTCAGTATTTTTGTGATTTTACTTTTTAATGTACCTATCCCATGCTAAGCTTGTCAGTAGTTGTCTTTAATTATATATTGATGCTTTTTTTCATTTTTGGAATTTGGAGACGATAGTAGATCTTGTTTGTCTCTGTTTTTTGTTTTAATCTTCTCTGGTTTGATGATGATTAAAAGATTGACATGTTTCGTCCCACAATATTATGTACTTGTACCAAGTCAGGCTATATACTGATCATGTGTTGTACGTTGTTGTTTGTCTTTGTTAGCTGAGGAACAGTTATACTCTAATGGTCCTAATTATGTTTTCTGATTTGTGCGGACCGCAAATTGTCAAAAATGATCATAAGGACCTAAGAGCTACAGTTCCGCAGCTTTGTCTTTATTTGTATGTCTTTTTTTGCGGATGAGTGGGGTGTTGGTGGTTGAGGTAGTCTAGTGTACTGTGTGGTTGAGGTAGTCTGATGTACTGTGTGGTTGAGGTAGTCTGGTGTACTGTGTGGTTGAGGTAGTCTGATGTACTGTGTGGTTGAGGTAGTCTGGTGTACTGTGTGGTTGAGGTAGTCTGGTGTACTGTGTGGTTGAGGTAGTCTGGTGTACTGTGTGGTTGAGGTAGTCTGGTGTACTGTGTGATTGAGGTAGTCTGGTGTACTGTGTGGTTGAGGTAGTCTGGTGTACTGTGTGGTATTATTGGGATATTCCTGTTATCCCTTTTTGTTATATTTACATGTTGACCTCCACATTTTTTGTGGTGTTTTTGTGTTGTTGGGTCACCGTCTAGTTGACGTACATCCACATCTCCATTTTATCATAGTTTAGAAAATATATTTAACTAAATGTTTTCTGTTAGTTCTCGTTTCTGGTCAAAATGTAGTTGGGTTGCAGAACTGTCTTATTGAT